TCTTTCCCTGTTGTTCTTTTTGTTTGACTCACAATTGAGTCTTCTTTTCTCATAAAAGGCTTCCTTAAACTCTTCAGCTTCCTTTATAATTTGATTTCGCATCTCCTTTTCTTTTTTCTCTTTTTCCTCAAGATGAATGGCATTTTGACTGCATTAGCAGAAGCCATGAAACTTATAGTATCAAAAGAACAAATGTCAATATTGCTTGTATAACTATTATTAAAACATGTTCACATCCACACACAACATACAAGAACAATTCTTTCTTCACCATCACACATATGGAGTTCCATTTAATACTCCTAAAAGCATATAATATAACAAGTGAGCTACATATAAAAGCAACATTTATTGCAATACAAGATTTATAAATCTATAGGAATTATACGCGGTTTAAAGAATATCTTCACATTTACACCACTCTTTAAAGTTTCTACCTCATTCTACCCATGAGATGAAAAAAAGAGGATTCATATAGATTAGTTGAACAAAAAATGAACATTGTATTGGATAGGTCATGTTTCCTTATGTAAGATAAAAAATTCTAAACAAAACAAAAACATGCTCATATTACTTCCAACAAGAAATCATGAAATTTGAGAGTTTCATAAATGAAGGAAAAAAAACATTACACCTTGCACTCATCAAATGTGGTATAACTATAGCATATGATCATGAAATGAAGATAATAAAATTAAAATAAATCTGACCGTCGCCATTCGCGTCTAGCATGACCTTCCTCTTGCATATGAGATGGGTCAGGGAGGAGGGGGCCATCAGAGGTGAAGGTTGAGTCATCAATGGGAGCAGGTTCAAAAGGGGAAACAAAGTCAGGATTAGGGGTGGAAACACCAAAGCCATAAACAGAAGGAGAATGTGGGTTGTCGGTGAAATTGTTATTGTTGTCCTCGTCGTCGACATTATTGTTGTTGTTATTTTGATCCACATTGAGTTGAGGTTGTTGGTCATCATAATCATAATGTTGTTGGGACTCATAACCCATGCCCATGTCCATGTAGCCACTGTCATCATCAAAGGCTCCTCTTGTCGGTGATTGATGTGATTGATCTTCAAACGAGTCGAATGATGCCATTTCTGATGGATACTTCTCCAACGCTGCCTTCGGATCACAAATCACTTCTAAACTCAAATAATGTTGCAATCGTAATGTATGTTATGTTATATCATGGGTTTCAGGTTATCTCTTACCTTACTTTTTGTTACCTAATCTTTTTAAGCATATTTTTCAATTTAAGTTAATACTCATCATTTTTTTTACATTCTATTTTTTTTATTTATTGAAATAAGACACAAAATATCTCGATCCATTAGTATTTATTATAGGAATGATTTTAGAATGAAAATTGATGTGTAAACTACATGTTATAATAAAGTACTATAAAAGAGCTAATGTTGTGAAAATAAATACATATTAATTTAGTAATGTACACATGTTTTTTTTTTTTTTTTGTTTTAATGTTAATTTTTCTAACGAACTCCGATGAAGGCCTAATATGTGGGCTACATTTGACCATGCATGGCAAACAAAAATGTTAATAATAATGATAAATCGGTTTGTTTCAACTTGATGCTTCCGTGCCCATTTTTCTCCTCCACATAAAATGCACAACCAACTCTTTCTTTGTTATGTTGCTAGAAAGTTGAACATTATCTCAACCTATCAATAGATGTGAACTAATGCTATGCGCAAGCGAATAGTAAACTGTATAAATTGGTTAGTATGTTGGAACATATTTTATAACTTGATATGATATGATATTTTTGATTCTGACATGAAAATTAGAGGAATGGTTAGGAATGAATTATATATATATAAAATTCATTGTTTTTTTTTTTTTGCATAAACAAAAAAAGTGTTTATCTAACTGGGACCAAAATTTTCATGAATAGGCCCAAATGTTAGCCCACAGCCCAATAATTAGGACCGCCATACAGGCGGAAACACAGGTACGCAAGCAAGGAGGTAAGAGCATATGATTCAGAAGAGAGTTGGAAACTCCTATTCCATCTTCACCTTCATTTCTTTCTCCTTCCATTGGAACCATTAATCGACGTATACATCATACACACACCATAACCCTAAACCCTAACCATGGTGTTTGTTGTATCACCTAACCACAAAACCTTCGCCATAGACCTAAACCCCAACACCACCACACTCCACCTCCTCAAACTCTCAATCCAACAAACCCTAACCATTCCAATTTCCCACCAACGCCTCTTCCTCTCCCACAGTCGCCGATTAACCGCCGACAATGACGCCGCCGGTGATTCCCTTCTTATCTCCGATCTCGGCGTCGGGCCCTACTCCACCCTGACCCTCCACGTCCCCTTCTTCGGCGGCACCAACCCTCCGGCGGTTCCCAAACCCCGCTTCGATTTCCTCAACTCCAAGCCCCCTCCCAACTACGTCGCCGGTCTCGGCCGTGGCGCCACCGGCTTCACCACACGTTCCGATATCGGGCCCGCCCGCGCCGCGCCGGACCTCCCCGACCGCTCCGCCACCACCATCGGCGGCACCGCCGGTGCCAGCAGGGGGCGCGGGAAGCCCGGCGCGGGTGAGG